CGTGATTTCCTTCGTGATGTCTCCAGGAATGTTGTCTTTAATCTCGTTCAAAAATGCGCTTCCGAGGTCTCCTCCTGGGTAAAAGCTAGAATCGAAGCTTTCATCCGCGCAAGGAAATATAAAGTTAAATCGCGCTCAGCCGCTCGGTTCTCAGCTGCTTGCTCATTGGCTATTTCCCATAGCAGTGGTTTTCAACCTTTTTGCTGGAGCGGAAACACTCCAGTGGCTCGAGGAACCCCTGTAATAAAAATTACTGTCAATCATAGTACTTGTGTAACTTCTTGCGGAACCTGGGCTTTACTGGATGAACGCTAGGGTTCCGCGGAACCCTGGTTGAAAACCACTGGCCTATAGGAATCACTTCTCCCGTCTGTACCGTAACGACATGTCAGATTGAAACAGACGTCTCTTTGTCTCAGCCGTAATGAGTGCAAGAGTGTCCTCAATGAAGCAAAATGACTATTTGCTGATAGAATGAAACAACGTATTGCATACATTATTCGGACTATTGTCCTCATCTTTGTCGCCTTATTTATCACAACGTTTCGGCCGTTGTACACTCCGGCCTTCTTCAGGTGGTTGGAATGTCGAACTGAACCCTTTATTTCGCTCACCGGGGTAGACTGTTCTAGTTCCATGTGCCATGTTTGATGGATATCAGTTATCGCCTGTTAATTTCCCTCTGAAAGTTCCCCACTGCCTTAACCGGGTATTGAACTCACACTCTTTGGGTCCTGTCACTGGATCTAACAAACGCCTTTATCCACTGTGGCATGTGTCCTTGAGGACATCTGGGTATGGATTTCTGGGTATTATAAACCTAATGTCTTCAGCAACCATTTTTAACCCGGTGAGCGAAATAAAGGGTTCAGTTCGACATTCCAACCACCTGAAGAAGGCCGGAGTGTACAACGGCCGAAACGTTGTAATGAATATGGCGACAAAGATGAGGACAATAGTCCGAATAATGTAAATAATGTACATAATACCTCATCTCAGAAATATAGACAGACTCTGAACGTATTGCATCTTGCAAATTCGGTTCCAAAGATATTTGACGTCTCTGCAAGAGCAACAGCAAATCCGCAATAACTCCTTTATTCAATCAGTTTGAGGTCCTAACTTCTTCAGCTGATAAGGCTTTGCTCGTAAATTCTCATCCAATTCAACTCTCGACTCATCCGGGGTACTCACACCTGATTTTCCCCCTAGAACTGAAACTCTGTTGAGCGAGTTGCACATCAACCCATCGATCGTATTGAACATCGTTCCTAAATTAGAATCCCATAGGTTTAACAGTAGGGACAGGATACCAGCCGTTATCCCGAAGCACTGTGCTCCTGAACTGGCTCCTGGACTCTCCAAACTATATAACTACTGCCTCAACGACTCTTGCTTTCCAGCCTGTTTGAAGTCCTCATCTGTTGTACCTGTCTTCAAGAACTCTGGAGACACTTCTGACTTATCTAACCAGCGTCCTATCAGTCTCCTATCTCTCTTCGTCAAAGTTTCGAAGCTTTAATCAACGCCGAAGTGGTTAAGCACCTTACATTACATGATCTACTATCTGACAAGCAATATTTTTTCCGCTTTGCCCGATCTAAGGCTGATGTAATCACGGCCATAACTGAATTTGTTTACCAAGCACTTCACAATAACGGAGAAGCTCGTGCTGTGGCTCTAGATATCTCTTAAGCGTTTGATAGGGTTTGACATGCCGGCCTTCTTCATAAGCTTCATGGATACGGAATTTCAGGACGATTATTTGACATAATACAATAATTCCTGTTAAACATTAATGAAGTGGGATCTAAACGGATTCTCCTTCCGTTCCTTTCTCACCAACGCAGGCGTTACCCAAGTCTCTATCCTGGGGTCCCACACTGTTTCTGATCATCATTAACGACCTTCCCGATGCCATCAGTTCCCAAGTAGATATCTAAGCAGACGACACCATTTGCTCCTGCCTCAGTAGTAATCTGGTATGGCTGACAAGACTAACCTGGCCGTTGGCCTCGAAAAGGACCCCCAAAGTATAGTCAAAACAGTAGGCCACAAACCTGGTTTGATAACGAAGCTAAAAGAAAGAAAACTATGAAGTCACACCGGTCAGAGTGGGTTGGGTTCAGTCAGACGTAACACAGCTACACTAAGTATAGTGCCCCTACGACCTTCAAATTCACTCACTTCTTACCAACATAAATATATGCAAAAGTGTTGACCAAATATGGCGCTTCAAAACTTAAAATCTGTAGGCGGTGGAGGAAATTAAATCAGATGTTAGATTGCTTTGGTTTCGTTGATTTTGTTTAGTGGCATATCAACACCTCTATGGGTTATTTAATACCGAAGTCTAAATATTTTGAATACAATTGTATGGCTTCAACTAAATATATTTTGAGCACAATTGTATACCTTCAACTAGAGATATAATGTATTGTTGTTCGTTTTACTATAAAATGTATTTTCAGTAATTATACTATAAATAGGTATTGTTGTTTGGTAGGTTTTTTAGCGACATATCAACACCTCTATGGGTTATTTCATGCCGAAATCTAAATATTTTGAACAGAATTTTATGGCTTCAACTAAATATATTTTGAGCGCAATTGTATACCTTCAACTACAAATAAAATGTATTGTTGGTCATATTACTATAAAATGTATTTTCAGTCATTTTACTATAAATAGGTATTGTTTGGTAGATTTTTTTAGCGGCATATCTAACTCCATGGGTTATTTAATGCCGAAATAAATGAATATTTGTCAACATGGTAAGAGGAGAAGACCCTATTAAAAATTAGCAGTATTAAAATTAAATCGTTACCAGTTTTTCGAAAGTTAAAGCGAGGTGCATCAGGTCAGAAATTACAAAATATACTTGTGGGTATGTCTCGATTACTCTTGGTTAATCGAGTCATAACAACAAGGCCATGACCACGTGAGAGAAAGAAATGTTTTATATATATATATATATATATATAATATTTTTTTATATAATTAATTTTTTTTTTTATTGTTAACGGCTAAAATTCTTACGGCATTTTTAAAAATTTGTAATATACTTGATGTGATAATAATTCTACAGACTGTAAGGGATTCTAATTACATTTAATTGTTCTTGAAAGAAATATAATATATTAAAAATTAAAAGTAAAAATATTTCAAATTGTAGTTAAATAAAAAGTATTCTTACCTAAACACCCACAAATACGAGGAAAAAAATGCCGTAAAAAATTTAGCTGTTAACAATAAAAAACAAAAAAAAATTTAAAAATCCAGACGACACGCTTTTAACGGATGTTAGATTTCATTGAAAAATACATCCCTACCCACTACCAAAACGTAGCAATAACTGATACATTAAAATATAGACACCGAGACAGCCCTTGTCTGGTAAATTGGATTCATCTGTAACCTTGGAAACATGAATTATGATTTTTGCTGTGTCTTTAAAACCTAGTAATTTTAAAAGTTACTCCAAAATTCGCTTTAGGATGAAATGGAACTAATGTCTTTAATTTAATTGCAAAATTAAATTCAAGCTTTTAGCTTCCATTTTTTAAACACGGTTAGAACTGTGTAGCGGAAAAAACATATTTTAAATCAATTAATTTATAATATTAATGCTCTGTAAATTTACATTGAGCACTATTTTGTAAAGATAAAAATATCTATAAGAACACCGGATTATATATCTTACTGTTCTTTTATATATATATATATATATATATATATATATATATATATATATGAAGAAAAATATATACGGAAAAAACAAACAAAAATCCTTATATGCAATTAAGCTGTTTTAATGTTAATATGTCAACGTCGGACGTTTCGATCTAATAAACCATCTTCAGGACATATTCATAAAATATAATTAACATTGTCAATTCAACATGATTCTGTGAAGATTTTAAAATATTTTCATAATAAAAATCTTAGGCGGATTTATGAAGCAGGCATAATATCCATCTCACGCACGGTGAATACTAGACCTGGCTTCTTTAGTATTTCCCCTTTTCTAGCGAGATTAATGCTCGACAAGCGCACATATAAATTTTAGATCAAAATAGAATGTTTTTCATTTTCCATTCAAAATACTCAAATTTTAGGAATACGTTTTCACAGCGTCGTCCACGTGACGACAACGTGGCCATGTTTTAAACGGAGCGCTGATCTTATAAAACTTTCAGTTATCTGTTTGGATAAGGCTTGTTCTTATGTACATCGTCTTTGTCATGTTGAATTGATAATGTTAATTATATTTTATGAATATGTCCTGAAGATGGTTTATTAGACCGAAACGTCCGAGGATGACATATTAACATTAAAACAGCATAATTGCATATAAGGATTTTTGTTTGTTTTTCCGTAAATATTTTTCTTCATACTGTCGGATCTATATCCATATATTTGCTTACATATATATATATATATATATATATATATATATATATATATATATATGTGTGTGTATATGTATATATGTGTGTGTGTGGGGGGGTATATATATATATATATATATATATATATATATATATATATATATATAGGGTTCGAGCGTACATCCCACTCAAGTTCAGTATGCTTTAAACCGCTCGGTCACGTAAACTGACCACACCCAAGTAATGTTCAATTAGTCCATTTAAAAAATAACACTATTTTCTAATACTTCGAAAACCTAACTATATTTTCGTATTCGTAATTCGTAAGGATGTGAATGAATTTCTTTTATAGTTCGAAGTAATTCTTTATTATCACCGGATGCACGTGTTTCAGTAGACGTCTATGTTTTATAAACAGTATTCAACCAGAAACGGAAAAAAAGGGACATTTAAAAAGTTACTTGAACCCTGCTTAGATGAGGAAGTTTCCTGTTTACAAAAGGGAATATGAATTACGTTAGTGTGAGTTTCAAAGAAAGAAAGAAAGAAAGAAAGAAAGAAAGAAAGACAGAAATATAGCAATAACAATGTCTACTTTTATCATTGTTTTTATTGAAGCTCATCTATTTGTAAAGAAAAAAAGAAAGAAAGATAAAGAAACAAAAAAGAAAAGAAAGAAAGAAAGAAAGAAGAAAAGAAAGAAAGAAAGAAAGAGAAAAAAAGAGAAAAAGAAAGAAAGAAAGAAATATAACAAAAACAATATATACTTTTACCATTGTTTATATTGAAGCTCATCTGTTTGGAAATAAATAAATAGAGAAATAAATAAATAGATAAAGAAAGAAAGAAAAAAAACAAAGAAAGAAAGAAAGAAAAGGAGGAAGAAAGAAAAATAGTACATTTATAAAGTTTTTGGCTTAAGAAAGAAAAAAGAAAGAAAGACAAGAAAAAAGATAAGGAACAAAATCTAACAGAAATTAGATAAGAAAGACAAAAAATTGTATTTCATAGAAATCTTTTGGCGAACGTCTTTTGGATTGAAGGAATCAAAGAAAGAAAGAGAAGCAAACAGAAAAAACAGAGAGAAAGAAAGGAATAAGAAAGAACTGAAAGTACAGAAGAAAAGAAAGTAAGAATGAAAATGAAAGAAATCAAAAGAAAAGTTAAAGGAAAATTTCAAAGAAAGGAAAAAAAAAATGAAGGATGAAAGAAAAAGAAGGAAACAAAGAAAGAAAGAAAAAAAATGAACGAGTATGAAGAAATTTAAATAATGAAAAATAGAGAAGAATCCAGGAGTAAAAAGAAAAATAAACAAAGAAAGAAAGAACAAAAGAAAGAAAAAAGAAAATCTCAATTTTCCTCATTGTATGCGTATGTGACCCTGTTTTATTTTACAAAAAAAAAGGAAAAAAATACCGTAATTCCTCATGTGTAATCTGCATTGTCTTCTAAAAAATAAAAAAGCAAAATCAGGAGTGCGTATTATACATAGTTACAAAAATCTTTAAAAAATTGCCGTAAAATAAAATAAGAATTATCATAAGACTAAATTTGAATAATATTATTCTATGTATAAAACCATTTTTTAAAAATAAGAGTAGGAAACACTGGGCGTAATTAAATTGGAGAGGTACAATTTATAGGATTTGATTACCAAACAAGGGGTGCGTATTATGTATGAGTATTATGGATGAAAGCGTATTATACATGGGGAATTAGGTATTTAATTGAAGATATTTTTATTAAAGAAACAAGAAAAAATAAACCAGCGAATAATGAAGTTTCTGCGACATTTCAAGTCATTTTTCATGTCGAACTTTATCAACTTCCGCTTCCTTATCGATGAAGTAAAGTTAGTGAACTTTCTGCATTTTTACAAATTTTTGACGTAATTCCCCAGGATTGCGTATTATGCACAGCTACAAGAAAATCTTTAAAAAATTGCCGTAAAATAAAATAAGAATTATCATAAAACTAAATTAGTATAATATTATTCTATGTATAAAACCATTTTTAATAAGATTAAAGAACACTGGCCATAATTAAATTGGAGAGGTACAATTTATAGGGTTTGATTACCAAACAAGGGGTGCGTTTTATACATGAGTAGAAGCATTTTCCCATACTTTCAGCAAAATTTTAGGGGTGCGTTTTATGGATGAAGGCGTATTATACATGGGGAATTACCGTACGAAAGAAAAAGAATAAAGAAACAATCGATAAAACCCTTAAAGGCGGAAAGAAAAAGAGGGAAAAAGGAAAGAAGGAAAAATACGGAATAAAGAAAAATAGAGAAGGAAGAGAGACAAATAATGAAAAAAAACAAAAAACAACAAACGATTAGCTTCTATATTTTGATTAGTGAAGAAAACTGGTTAAAAAAAAAAACTAAGATGAAATTTAAAACAAGAAAAATCAGTCCATATTTCTGAAATGAGATATTGTAACTATTTACATCGTCCTCATCTTTATTGCCATATTCATGGAATCTCGGCCGTTGTTCGCTCTGGCCTTCTTCGGGATCAGTCTATATTTAAGAGATGAGGTATTGTAACTATTAACACTATATACATCGTTCGGACTGTTGTTCTCATCTTTCTTGCCATATTCAGGACATTTCGGTCGTTGCATGCTCCAGCCTTCTTCAGGATCTTTCTATATTTCTGAGATGAGGTATTGTAACTATTTACATGATTCGAACTCCTATCCTCATCTTTATTATCATACTCATAAAGTTTCGGCCGTTGTACGCACCGGATTTCATCAGGACCGTGCTATATTTCTGAGATGAGGTATTGTAAATTTTTACATCGTTCGGACTTCTCTACTCCTCTTCATTGTCATATTCACAACGTTTCAGCCGTTGTACGCTCCGGCCTTCTTCAGGATCTGTCTATATTTCTTTGATGCGGTATTGTAACTAACTACACTATTTAGATCGTTCGGTCCTTTGTCCCCATCTTTATTGACATATTCACGAGGTTTCTGCCGTTGTACGCTCCGGCCTTCGGGATCTGTCTATATTTCTGACATGAGGTATTGTAACTATTTACACTATTTAAATCGTTCGGACTTCTGTCCTCATCTTTATTGTCATGTTCCCGACGTTTCGGCCGTTGTGCGCTCCGTTCTTCATCGGGATCTGTCTATATTTCTGAGATGAGGTATTGTAACTAGTTACATTATTTACATCGTTCGGACTGCTGTCCTCATCTTTGTTACCATATTCACTACTTTTCGGAGCGAAACATTACGTCATCCCAGAAATATAGACAGTTACTAAAATGCTATGTTCTTTATCGCCATCTTATTACTTATTTCACACATTTCTCTGTGCAAAGCTGAAAAAAATGAATACTTCACTGATATGCAACGCAACATAAATCATAAGTAAATTGACTTTTCGAGAGAAGGAATTGAAATGATTTGATTATTTAAGATCATTTTGCTAATTCCTGTGTGAATTTCTGAAATAAGGTATTGTAACTATTTACACTATTTACATCGTTTGGATTTCTGTCCTCATCTTTATTCTCATATTCACAACGTTTCGGCCGTGGTACGCTCTAGCCTTCATCAGGATCTGTCTATATTTCTGAGATGAGGATTTTTCATTAGTTACACTATTTATATTGGAAAATGTTTCCTTGTGTTTGCTGTTGTTATCCCTACGTTTCGACAAACGCGCCCTCCGTCCTTCCTCAGGTGTGTTTCAAATCTAGGTAAATAGAGCAAATTCCGAACTGAAATATTTATTTAATCTACGGGTGTAGACAGTTCTCGTTCCACTGCAAATGTCTAGGGATATTTCGTCTAGTTCTTATGTTTTATACTGTTCAGTTATTGCTCGCCCTGTTTTCGGTGAGCCCAAGTACAAAGTGCTCTGACCAGGGATTGAACTTAATCCTTTATTTAATCTACAGGGATAGACTGTTCTAGTTCCACTGCCCGTGTCCAGGAATATTTCATCTAGTTCTTAATTTTAGTACTGCTCATTTATTACTCGTCCTGTTTCCGGTGAGCACAAGTACAAAGTGCTCCGACCAGGGGTTGAATTGAACCCTTTATTTAATCTACGAGGGTAGACTGCTCTTGTTCCGCTGTCCATGCCTCGGGATATCCCGTGTAGTTCTTATTTTTGGTACCTTCTCAGTTATTACATCCCCAGTTTCCGATGAGCCCAAGCACAAACTGATCTGGCCATGGATTGAAGGTATAATGTAAATAATGCAAGTAATCATAATATCTTATCTCAGAGATCCAATCACCTGAAGAAGGCCGGAGCGTACAACAGCCTTATTTAATCTACAGGGAAAGAATATTTACGTTCCAATGTCCACGTCTAGTTCTTATTTTTAGTATTGCTCATTTTTTGCTCACATTGTTTCTATTGAGTCCAGGTACACATTTCCCGGACCAAGGAATTAAGTGAACATTTTATTTAATCTACAAGGGTAAACTGTTCTCATGCCACTGCCTATGTTTAGGGATATCTCATCGAGTTCATATTTTTAATACTGCACATTTATTCCTCCCCCTGTTTCAGGTGAGCACAAGTACAAAGTGCATCGACTAGACATTGAACTTCATCCTTTATTCAATCTACAGGGATAATCTGTTCTAGTTCTATTGCCTATGTCTAGGGATATCTCGGCTAGTTCTTATTTTTTAATACTGCTCATTTATTGCTTACCCTGTTTCCGGTGAGCCCAATTACAAACTGCTCTAGCCAGGGATTGAAGGGAACGCCTTATTTAATCTAAATGGATACACTATTTTCGTTCTAATGTCCATATCTTGGTTAGTTTTTATTTTTAATACTGCTCAATTATTGCTCGCCCTGTTTCCAGTGGGTCCAAGTACACACTGCTTTTATTAAAAATAATAATACAAATATAAACTGTCTAACTAATCAGACTACTAGTAAGACTTAACTAAAAAGTAACACTATTAATTTACTATTAGAAAAAGAAAATAGTATTCAGTCATTATTTTAGGCTTATTTATTTTAAAATTATAGACGTTAGCTGCTTTTGATAGGAACTATCAAAAAAGAAGTGCCATTTTTTAACACAAGTTTAAGAAACAGCAGCTTGAGGCTTGGACTGTAATAAGCTTAATATTTTTTATTTTAATTTCGCTTTGTTTTAAGGGAGGTGCATGGATTCCAGTCTGTGATTCTTCCGGAAGCATGAAGAGAAAGGAAATACAATTAAAAAAAGGAACTGAAATCTAATGTTCACTCCAAAATCGAAAAAAAAAAATGGTCAAATAAGAGATCTTTTTTTTCTTTCAAATGAAATTTAAAAAAAAAAAAATTAAAATAAAATCTAGCCAACGAGTGCTTAGCGGATCGAAACTGAAAAGAAATCATCACTGTTGTTAATTCCATTAAAATAAATTGTGTATAATTCAAGTTAAGGCGAAAGAACGAGAGATTTCGGAACAATCGACGTGACAACGAACGAGATCAAGACGAGAACAGGAAATTAGGATCACGTGATTTCATTAAAGCTACGTCATGAAACGAGATAGCCTTTACACGTAGCGATATTTGGTAAGGTGGTGAATTTGTTGGCGGCGGAGTTTGAGATTAGTGGACTAAGAATCGAAATATTTCGTGGAAGGATTCAGCCATACGTAGAAGAGGAAAAGATGGAGAGATTTAAATTCATGATAATGACGTCCATGAGGTTTGAATTAGGCGAAGTAAAAAAAAAGAAAAGTAAAGAAGAAACAACATAAGAACGGCAGAATAAGAAAGAGAAGACATCTTCACAAAACAATGAAAACGTTACTAACTAACCATCCCGACATATTCTTTATATTCAGAATAATGAATAATGACACAACACAAGAAAATTTGATTTCGTAGGAAGAAATGAACAGACGATGGAACGTGTGACGTAATGATACAAAAGTGCATCGATAATAAGACTTCTAGAAATTAAGTATTAAAAGATAGGA